AAGCAGAGCTTGATGATCGACCATCTTATCAATTGCAGACCAATACAGACCATTTCACATGGTCTGTGACGAAAGAGATTTTGCAATCGGCTGCGCGTTCATACAGTACGATGCAGACGGCGCAGAGCGCGTCGTCTACTATCAGCTGCAAGCAGTTGAGCGTATTTATCCCATGTATGACAAGGATTTACTTGCCATGAAGTACGCGCGTCAATCTCCTTGGAGATAAGACGTTTATAGTCTTTTGAGACCATGCATCATTACGCACGGCCGTAAACAGTCCACACATATCTCAAAGGACGTCGAGGTGGCTTTACTTCTTCTTGGAGTACAACTTCTCCGTGGAGTACAAAACCGGACGACCAAATGTCGTCGCGGACGCGTTGTCGCGCCAAACAGATTTCGGGTCGGCTGCACAGTACAACAGTGGTGTTGATACCACCGTTGCGACACTAGTCACTTGCTTTCCGTCGTCATTGGTTGACGACACAAAAAAGGCCCACGAAGAAGATAAGGCTCTTCTGCAACTTTTGGATCATCTGGTGACTCCATCATGTAAATCTCTCATGGATTTAACGGCCTTGTATCAATCTTCCGTGGATCAATACAAAACACGTAGCTGATTTCTGTATTATTCAGATGTTTTCGGCGAGGCACCTTGATGCCGATGTATCTTTTGATGAAAATTCTCAAAATAATTTAGAAAAAAACAATTCGATCAATAAAAACAAAACAACCTTAACATATTTAAAATTTGTACTAATTACCTCGTATCGTCGTCCCCTCTCATAATGATCTGCGCTTGCGCATCTTTTATAAGTGCCGTGATGTACCACCTAGTGAGCATCGTGTGCGTTAGAAGACTTATCTCACGGTAAGTCGTGACTTTAATTGGTCCTGCCAATATCAGTTTGTGCGCAAATAAATTCGCTCTTGCAAAGTTTTCCAACGGGTGAAGCCTATTCCTTCATCCCGTGCGTCAATAAGACCTCTACCAATCCCTGCAGAGTGCTAGCAGTCCGTTTCAACGGACTCCGTCTTCGATTTCCCTGAAGAAGCTTACAAAAATCATGGCATTCTTGTGTTCGTAGACCGATTCAGTAAGATGGTACATCTTGCTGCAGTCAATAAGTCAATTTCAGCACATGGTTGTGCCTGTGGCTTCATTGACAGGTTATTCTGACTCCATAGTATAACCCGTGCACTATTAGCTGATGGAGACCCTCGGTTCACGGCGGCGTTTTGGCAATCCGTGTTTCGATACCTCGGAACACGGTCTGGCTATGTCTACTTCTGACCATCCTGAGAACAATGGTCAGATAGAACGAATCAACCGCGTCCTGGAAGAGATACTTCAAGGATACGTCAAATCGTTCACAGATTGAAGCACATTTTTGGCGATGTCGGAGTCTTTCAATCAACGACTCCGTGCGTGCGTCGACAGCGCACACACCATTTTTGTGTGAACGGCTTACGCCATCCACGCCTGTTCACTCATTTAGAGTGTAACTCTAATCTAAGGGGAGAGGGATTCGCTCGAGCAAAAACCGATCTGGCTCTTGCTCATCACGTGTCGAGTTACTCGAAGACACGATCGTTGCCGATGTCGATCAAATCGACATCAAAGGGAAGGTAGCCTCAGCAATAGTGACGACAATATTGCTGATCTAGATGAGGACGATGATGCTGGTACATTTAGAAACTCCAACGATTACACCAGCGAGGATGAGAACACCCTTGCTAAAGAAGAAAATGACCCTTTAGCGGTGCGCACAAGACTCACTGCAACAAACCGAAGTGAGTCAGCAAAAGATTTCTTGCTGGCACAAGAAGCAGTGGTCCGTTTCGCGCAGTACTCCATAGCTAAGCGGTGGACCGGCAGAAACAGAACGCTGACAAACATGTAAGAGCAAGCGTTCTTCAATTTAATGTTGGAGACTTTGTTCTACTGTATACGGTAATCTACCTAACCACGTAGTAACTTACGTGGGTAATAATTACTACTACCCAAGTACATCGGCCTGTTTCATGTACTTCATCGCGAAAGCGATGCGCACACGATCGATTTGCCTTGCAGGATGCGAACGAATCCTACGTTTTATGTCGGTCATCTCCACCCGTACTGTCAGCACGAGGTATCCATTTCAAGCAAATACAACCGCCAGGGTCTTGAACCTCTAAGAGATTATTTTGTGACCCGAGACAGTTTCTCAATCTGGCTCTGTGGTGCCGCATGCTGGCGATGAATGTCAGCGATTCGTCGCGAAGGCTTGGCGCTTCCTCTCGTTATCCAATCGGTATAACGCGAACTTCAATCAGTCTTCCGATAGATAAAGGTGGATTCATTCCATCCAAGTCTTTAAATCGAAACGCTCCTGTATCTCTTGTTCGGTGCGATCACATAGATTGTGTAAGCGTTTCTGGAGACGACCGAGCTCCGCTAGCAACTCCAACAAACGGTTCGTAGTTGATATTCCCACCCCCATCACATCCATTGGTGGACTCGCGAGGGCTTAACGCTTTCAAGTGAAGTGTATATCAAACCACCGCGACGTGAAGGGGCAGTGAACGAGTTATCTCGTTCGCTGGCGCGGCTATCCACCATCGCACGACAGCTGGGAGCCTCGCTTCCATCTGATGATTAACGTTGAGGGTCTCGTCCACCAGTACGACGAGATGCATCCGATACCTCAGAAGGGCCATCAAAAAACACGCGCCCATGGTGCTGGCAGAGCGATTGCAGGTTATAAATCGCATCGCGCATCTCAGAAGAGATGTGCACCCTACCCCATGGCGAATAAAGGAAGTACGCATCCCTTTGAATTTGTCGAGTCTTGTCGAAACAACACGGATGTGGGTTTCCCACGTGAGGTATGTAATTCCTGCCTCATGAGATAGATAGAGCAACCTGGTTTTTGCACCAGTCAAGATCCGTTTATCAAACCTAACACGACGTGTGCTAAGTTTCTGAAGCCAAACTTCGCGCTTAATGAGCTACACATTGAGTATAAAGACATTCTACGCCTGCAGCAACAAGCTTTTGCCTTGCATAGTGTTGCCACTATTCTACAGATGCTTCAGAAAAGCATCCAGGTAGAAGTCTTCTTCAGCGCGAAAGTTACTAGCGCTGGTGTCGAGGCCGTACAACAAACTCGCATCGAATAATGGAATTTGATGATGAAGACTTGTCTTTCTTGACAGATAATTCACAAGACTTTCTGGTAATAACCAAGTCTTGTGATCAGGGTCCAGACGCAGCACATTACCGTCTAGAGCCTCCTGCGTGGTACCAACGGAAGTCTTGGTACCACTAGAATCGTCATCACGACGATGTAATTAATCACCACATTTGCTGGAAGGCGAATACGCAGTAGCAGGCGCGGGGGATGAGTCAGCATGCTTATCCTCCAAGCCAAACAGACCCTTGTAGAGATCATGCGTCTGAATACCCGCTCAAGTCCTATTCACTAGCTCGTATTCAGCCTCCCCAATAGACTTGGGCGACGTAGGTGTCTTCTTCGAGTTGGACCCACCTTCCGACTCTCCCGAATAGATGAGCTCCACTTGGGAGTCATCATCATTAGCACGTGGTGACTCACCACTTGCCTGTGCAGCAACTGGTGCTGCAGGAGGAGTCGCAGAGGTAGCAAACGAAGCATCGTCTGCCGCGAGAGGCTGTGCATAGTCAGGAGCAGCTGCGTTAACACACGCAGCTGCCTCCTCAGAAGCTTTCGCCGCGCATCGCATGATTTTTCACCATGAGATGAAGAACCAGAAATTATTGGATCAGAAAAAAAGTGCTACCTGTCTCTGAGGTGGTCAAATGGTAAACACTACAACAGGATAGTGATTCATTGACGATCGTTCGGGAGGTTGATGTGACGGGGTGAGCCTGTTACATGTAATTACCCTTGACACTTGTTAATTAAAATGTTATCACAAAGATTGATGACGTTCGTGAATATATACATAAGGGGTAATACTCAGAATTACTTGCCAATTAGCTAATCTGGCTCATTATATCAGCCAGCTCTAGCGGTCCAATCAAAGATAAACTCGCGCAATGAGTGATGAGTAAGACTTTTGCATACAACTTTGTAGACAAATATGATTAAGTTGGGACTAAAGTATAGGTTAATGATCAGGAATTAGTGTCTTTTTAATTCGGTAAAACTTTTACCGGCAGCCAGTCAGTCCCTAGCTGCTTTCCCTTCTTCTGCGTAGGTAACAGAGATCGTGAGGACCCACTCACACTAATATCGGTAAAAGTGCTCCACACTAGGTGTAATGTAACGGATCATTGGAGCAACACACTGGACAACTAAAAATGTCGGTGAGAGTAGCTCCTCACTGGTTGTCCTGTAAATAGGCACTGAAGCAAAACACTGGATAATCAGTGTGGAGATACTCTCACCGACATTATTAGTTGTCCAGTGTGTTGCTCTAATGATCCATTACATTACACCTAGTGTGGAGCACTTTTACCGATATTAGTGTGAGTGGGTCCTCACGATCTCTGTTACCTACGCAGAAGAAGGGAAAGCAGCTAGGGACTGACTGGCTGCCGGTAAAAGTTTTACCGAATTAAAAAGACACTAATTCCTGATCATTAACCTATACTTTAGTCCCAACTTAATCATATTTGTCTACAAAGTTGTATGCAAAAGTCTTACTCATCACTCATTGCGCGAGTTTATCTTTGATTGGACCGCTAGAGCTGGCTGATATAATGAGCCAGATTAGCTAATTGGCAAGTAATTCTGAGTATCACCCCTTATGTATATATTCACGAACGTCATCAATCTTTGTGATAACATTTTAATTAACAAGTGTCAAGGGTAATTACATGTAACAGGCTCACCCCGTCACATCAACCTCCCGAACGATCGTCAATGAATCACTATCCTGTTGTAGTGTTTACCATTTGACCACCTCAGAGACAGGTAGCACTTTTTTTCTGATCCAATAATTTCTGGTTCTTCATCTCATGGTGAAAAATCATGCGATGCGCGGCGAAAGCTTCTGAGGAGGCAGCTGCGTGTGTTAACGCAGCTGCTCCTGACTATGCACAGCCTCTCGCGGCAGACGATGCTTCGTTTGCTACCTCTGCGACTCCTCCTGCAGCACCAGTTGCTGCACAGGCAAGTGGTGAGTCACCACGTGCTAATGATGATGACTCCCAAGTGGAGCTCATCTATTCGGGAGAGTCGGAAGGTGGGTCCAACTCGAAGAAGACACCTACGTCGCCCAAGTCTATTGGGGAGGCTGAATACGAGCTAGTGAATAGGACTTGAGCGGGTATTCAGACGCATGATCTCTACAAGGGTCTGTTTGGCTTGGAGGATAAGCATGCTGACTCATCCCCCGCGCCTGCTACTGCGTATTCGCCTTCCAGCAAATGTGGTGATTAATTACATCGTCGTGATGACGATTCTAGTGGTACCAAGACTTCCGTTGGTACCACGCAGGAGGCTCTAGACGGTAATGTGCTGCGTCTGGACCCTGATCACAAGACTTGGTTATTACCAGAAAGTCTTGTGAATTATCTGTCAAGAAAGACAAGTCTTCATCATCAAATTCCATTATTCGATGCGAGTTTGTTGTACGGCCTCGACACCAGCGCTAGTAACTTTCGCGCTGAAGAAGACTTCTACCTGGATGCTTTTCTGAAGCATCTGTAGAATAGTGGCAACACTATGCAAGGCAAAAGCTTGTTGCTGCAGGCGTAGAATGTCTTTATACTCAATGTGTAGCTCATTAAGCGCGAAGTTTGGCTTCAGAAACTTAGCACACGTCGTGTTAGGTTTGATAAACGGATCTTGACTGGTGCAAAAACCAGGTTGCTCTATCTATCTCATGAGGCAGGAATTACATACCTCACGTGGGAAACCCACATCCGTGTTGTTTCGACAAGACTCGACAAATTCAAAGGGATGCGTACTTCCTTTATTCGCCATGGGGTAGGGTGCACATCTCTTCTGAGATGCGCGATGCGATTTATAACCTGCAATCGCTCTGCCAGCACCATGGGCGCGTGTTTTTTGATGGCCCTTCTGAGGTATCGGATGCATCTCGTCGTACTGGTGGACGAGACCCTCAACGTTAATCATCAGATGGAAGCGAGGCTCCCAGCTGTCGTGCGATGGTGGATAGCCGCGCCAGCGAACGAGATAACTCGTTCACTGCCCCTTCACGTCGCGGTGGTTTGATATACACTTCACTTGAAAGCGTTAAGCCCTCGCGAGTCCACCAATGGATGTGATGGGGGTGGGAATATCAACTACGAACCGTTTGTTGGAGTTGCTAGCGGAGCTCGGTCGTCTCCAGAAACGCTTACACAATCTATGTGATCGCACCGAACAAGAGAGACAGGAGCGTTTCGATTTAAAGACTTGGATGGAATGAATCCACCTTTATCTATCGGAAGACTGATTGAAGTTCGCGTTATACCGATTGGATAACGAGAGGAAGCGCCAAGCCTTCGCGACGAATCGCTGACATTCATCGCCAGCATGCGGCACCACAGAGCCAGATTGAGAAACTGTCTCGGGTCACAAAATAATCTCTTAGAGGTTCAAGACCCTGGCGGTTGTATTTGCTTGAAATGGATACCTCGTGCTGACAGTACGGGTGGAGATGACCGACATAAAACGTAGGATTCGTTCGCATCCTGCAAGGCAAATCGATCGTGTGCGCATCGCTTTCGCGATGAAGTACATGAAACAGGCCGATGTACTTGGGTAGTAGTAATTATTACCCACGTAAGTTACTACGTGGTTAGGTAGATTACCGTATACAGTAGAACAAAGTCTCCAACATTAAATTGAAGAACGCTTGCTCTTACATGTTTGTCAGCGTTCTGTTTCTGCCGGTCCACCGCTTAGCTATGGAGTACTGCGCGAAACGGACCACTGCTTCTTGTGCCAGCAAGAAATCTTTTGCTGACTCACTTCGGTTTGTTGCAGTGAGTCTTGTGCGCACCGCTAAAGGGTCATTTTCTTCTTTAGCAAGGGTGTTCTCATCCTCGCTGGTGTAATCGTTGGAGTTTCTAAATGTACCAGCATCATCGTCCTCATCTAGATCAGCAATATTGTCGTCACTATTGCTGAGGCTACCTTCCCTTTGATGTCGATTTGATCGACATCGGCAACGATCGTGTCTTCGAGTAACTCGACACGTGATGAGCAAGAGCCAGATCGGTTTTTGCTCGAGCGAATCCCTCTCCCCTTAGATTAGAGTTACACTCTAAATGAGTGAACAGGCGTGGATGGCGTAAGCCGTTCACACAAAAATGGTGTGTGCGCTGTCGACGCACGCACGGAGTCGTTGATTGAAAGACTCCGACATCGCCAAAAATGTGCTTCAATCTGTGAACGATTTGACGTATCCTTGAAGTATCTCTTCCAGGACGCGGTTGATTCGTTCTATCTGACCATTGTTCTCAGGATGGTCAGAAGTAGACATAGCCAGACCGTGTTCCGAGGTATCGAAACACGGATTGCCAAAACGCCGCCGTGAACCGAGGGTCTCCATCAGCTAATAGTGCACGGGTTATACTATGGAGTCAGAATAACCTGTCAATGAAGCCACAGGCACAACCATGTGCTGAAATTGACTTATTGACTGCAGCAAGATGTACCATCTTACTGAATCGGTCTACGAACACAAGAATGCCATGATTTTTGTAAGCTTCTTCAGGGAAATCGAAGACGGAGTCCGTTGAAACGGACTGCTAGCACTCTGCAGGGATTGGTAGAGGTCTTATTGACGCACGGGATGAAGGAATAGGCTTCACCCGTTGGAAAACTTTGCAAGAGCGAATTTATTTGCGCACAAACTGATATTGGCAGGACCAATTAAAGTCACGACTTACCGTGAGATAAGTCTTCTAACGCACACGATGCTCACTAGGTGGTACATCACGGCACTTATAAAAGATGCACAAGCGCAGATCATTATGAGAGGGGACGACGATACGAGGTAATTAGTACAAATTTTAAATATGTTAAGGTTGTTTTGTTTTTATTGATCGAATTGTTTTTTTCTAAATTATTTTGAGAATTTTCATCAAAGATACATCGGCATCAAGGTGCCTCGCCGAAAACATCTGAATAATACAGAAATCAGCTACGTGTTTTGTATTGATCCACGGAAGATTGATACAAGGCCGTTAAATCCATGAGAGATTTACATGATGGAGTCACCAGATGATCCAAAAGTTGCAGAAGAGCCTTATCTTCTTCGTGGGCCTTTTTTGTGTCGTCAACCAATGACGACGGAAAGCAAGTGACTAGTGTCGCAACGGTGGTATCAACACCACTGTTGTACTGTGCAGCCGACCCGAAATCTGTTCGGCGCGACAACGCGTCCGCGACGACATTTGGTCGTCCGGTTTTGTACTCCACGGAGAAGTTGTACTCCAAGAAGAAGTAAAGCCACCTCGACGTCCTTTGAGATATGTGTGGACTGTTTACGGCCGTGCGTAATGATGCATGGTCTCAAAAGACTATAAACGTCTTATCTCCAAGGAGATTGAAGCGCGTACTTCATGGCAAGTAAATCCTTGTCATACATGGGATAAATACGCTCAACTGCTTGCAGCTGATAGTAGACGACGCGCTCTGCGCCGTCTGCATCGTACTGTATGAACGCACAGCCGATTGCAAAATCGCTTTCGTCACAGACCATGTGAAATGGTCTGTATTGGTCTGCAATTGATAAGATGGTCGATCATCAAGCTCTGCTTGACATTTTCAAAGGAACGTTGACAATCAACGTTCCATGACCACTTCTTGTTTCTTTTTCAAAAGACGCGAGATATAAGGTCATCTCGGCGTAGTTGCGCGAGTGCTTGTTGTTTAAGTACGCTGATAGACCAACGAACTTTTTAAGTCCCGTGAAATCGACTGGCACAGTACAGTTGCTGATCATCACCTTGATCTTATCTGGATCAGGGAGTACACCGTGTTTACCCACCACGCACACAAGAAGTGGCATTTCGCTAGCAGCGAATATACACTTCTTGAGGTTGATATACAGCTGATGCTTGCGCACAAGTGCAAGGACCTGACAAACGTGTGTTCTATGAACCTCTACGTCCGTCTTTTCTCCCATAGACCGGTATGGTCGAATACGTCGTCGAAGTAACTCGGTGCGAAGTTTCGCGCCGGTATCAAAAGATATGTAGAATATCTTTTGAATGTGGCAGGGGCCTCGTTAAGTCCTTGTGGCATTAATAGATACTCCCAGATCATACCTCTCGGGGTGCTTACTGACGTGTACGGGATGTCCCGTTCATGCATTAGGATCTGATAGAAGCCATCCATGAACGAAAAGATGGTACTCTTTGACATGCCATCAATAATTACGTCCTCCCTCGGTATCGACGTTTGAGACGGCACCGTTTCAGCATTCAACTTGTTGGATTCGTGTACTATCCGCTATCCTCCTTTGGACTTGCGCACACAAAAGGTCGGAGAGCTGTGAGAGGAATTTGACTCCCCCCACACGATCCGCGGATAAGAGATCGGCAAAGAACTTGTCGATCGCAAGTGATTGTTCACGAGGCAGTGGACACTGCTGCATGAAACAGTACTTCTATCCCGGTTTGGGCTCTATTTCGTCAAGTGCCTCTATTCTTAGGCGATTCGCGTGGTACGAATTCCAAAAAAGGTTCTTGAATTTGATCAAATTCTTGTACAAAGGATATGCCTGAAGCGACTCCCAAAATTGAGACATGTATTGCTAAATCCGAGTCTAATCATCGAAGAACTTTTGCCCATCGATGAGCTGCTGAAAACCCGTTCAATCTTGGCAAATATTACTGCCAACCGAATGTCGGTATTGTACTTGTCCTCCGTGACTATTACACAGATCCGCTTGACCTTGCCAATACGCAGATATTGAAGAAACGTTTTAGTTCTAGTGTTGGCAATTGAGTGATCTCCGAAGTTGTCTTCGGAGGAGCGATCACAGTTTATAGGCGCCTGCACTTGACCCGTCATTAACCAAGACATTTAATGTCTTGGTTTCTCCCTGGGAAATCTTTCCCGCAGGCTGATGAGGTCTCGTTAACTCATCAATAACTAATTGAGGAATTTCTTACTCAAGTACGTGGGGACGTATTTCCACCAATGCCTTCTAGTTGTGGTTGCGCTACCACAGCTACGTCCTCTACGATGGATTCTCCAGCCGATATAGGATCATCGTATTGCCCGTGGGCAACTGGTTTATTCTTACTTGTACGTAGCCTGATAGGCGTAAATCCACGTCCCAATCCACTCGAATTGTTCGA